CAATACCAGAATGGTGTTACCCAGCGTAAAATAGCAAAGACTTTTAAGTTATCATCATCAACCGTGCATAACATCATCAAAAGATTCAGAGAATCTGGAACAATCACTTAAGGGTCAAGGTCGTAAAACTCTACTGGATGCTCGTGATCTCCGGGCCCTTAAACGTCACTGCACCACAAACAGGAATGCCACTGTCAAGGAAATAACAGAATGGGCTCAGGAATACTTCCAGAAAGCATTGTCAGTGAACACAATCCACCGTGCCATCCGCCGTTGCCAGCTGAAACTCTACAGTGCAAAGAGGAAGCCATTTCTAAGCAAGCTCCACAAGCTCAGACGTTTGCACTGGGCCAGGGGTCATTTAAAATGGAGTGTGGCAAAATGGAAGACTGTTCTGTGGTCAGATGAGTCACGATTTGAAGTTCTTTATGGAACACTGGGACGCCATGTCATCCGGACCAGAGAGGACAAGGATAGCCCAAGATGTTATCAACACTCCGGTCAGAAGCCTGCATCACTGATGGTATGGGGTTGCATGAGCGCTTGTGGCATGGGCAGCTTGCATGTCTGGAAAGGCACCATTAATGCAGAGAACTATGTTCAGGTTCTAGAACAACATATGCTCCCATCTAGACGTCATCTCTTTCAGGGAAGACCCTGCATTTTTCAACACGATAATACCAGACCACATTCTGCAGCAATCACAGCATCATGGCTACGTAGGAGAAGGATCCGGGTACTGAAATGGCCAGACTGCAGTCCAGATCTTTCACCTATAGAGAACATTTGGCACATCATAAAGAGGAAGGTGCGACAAAGAAGGCCCAAGATGATTGAACAGTTAGAGGCCTGTATTAGACATGAATGGGAGAGCATTCCTATTTCTAAACTTGAGAAACTGGTCTCCTCTGTCCCCAGACGTCTGTTGAGTGTTGTAAGAAGAAGGGGGGATGCCACACAGTGGTAAAAATGGACTTGTCCTAACTTTTGGGGGATTTGTTGACGCCATGATATTTGGAAACAACAGATTTTTCCCTTAAAATGATACATTCTCTCAGATTAAACTTTTGATCTGTGATTTGTGTTCTATTCTGAATAAAATATTAGATGTTGGCACCTCCACATCATTGCATTCAGTTTTTATTCACAATTTGTTTAGTGTCCCAACTTTTTTGGAATTCGGTTTGTAGATTTACATAACCAGTCAGGATACCATACAGCCTTCAATAGCATCCTAACTGCTGAGGTTTGTCCAGGGCAATCCTTGTAGGGGTCAAGTTTGCTTTAAACCAAAAATATACAATTTGAAGAGGTTACAAAGTGATAGGAGATAACAAAACTTTTAAAGATTCCAGCTTTTTCCTTTAAAACATTCACAAATTTTCCTTGCATTTAAGAATGCATGCAGTGGCATCAAAACTTTTGGCCTGGAGAACTGGGTTGGGACATCTGACCAAATAATTTCTGGACAATGATATCGGTAAGTGACTTTTTAAAAGTCACAAAAAATGTTGCGACTCAAGATTTTTTTTGTTAAACAGAAGAAAGGTCATTAATGAAAATAATGGAAATGGAAGTCGTGGAAATAAATGTGTCAGAATGACTTTAGCAAACCTTAAATTCACAAAGAGGCAAACTCCTCTTTTCTAATTGGACCAGTCTAACACTAAAATACAAGTTGGTGGAATACTGATGGACAATCAGCATAAAAAAGGCAGTTTTAAATAGGGATGCCCGATATTGGATTTTTGGCCGATATCTGATATGCCGATATGTTAAAACTTATTTGGCCGATAACCGATATCAATACAGATATATTTTTTCTTTGATCTACTTACAGAGGCTACATAGCTTTCTCTGCTGTGGAATTAAAATACATTAATCTTTTTCATTCAACCTTTATTTATACAGGTTAGTTCCCATTGAGCCTCAAGGACTCATTTACAAGAGACCTGCTTTCTGCATGGTCTTTGTCAATTTGGCCTGCTACCAAATGCAGATGCCAAAAATGGGGCTGAAAATGATGTAACACTATATAAATATACAATATATATTTTTTAAAAAGCAGGGCTTTTTATATAGGCGAGTTATTTTGATCGAATGGCCGATGTCCAATATTTAACTTTATCGCCAATATCGGCCGATACCATGCCAATAATATCGTGCATCCCTAGTTTTAAATAAAACAGTTACTCTATGCAGATGTTAGCAGTTTTACCCTGACTTTGTGTCTTACATACTTTTGCAATGGCATCTACACGTGTGCCTCACTGGTACAGGGACTGTTTCTATCTGCATTTAAAAATGCTCAGGTACAACTTTTGTTCAGTAGGCTCTGTTTCACCCAGATGAAGATCAGGATTACTAGTCTGTCTTCCATCTTCTGCTCCTACAAGTCTATCAAAAATTGTTTTCAACCCATTCTTGGACAATGGCTTGGGTAAACTTCCTACCATGTGCCCCATTTCATGGTAGAAAGTAGTGACAGTATCTGTGTCACTGACTTTGCTTAAGAGCAACATGGAATAAGAGCGTAGATCAACATCAATGAAGGTATCTCAGCTTGTTAATGTCAGTCATTTTAACACTATTGTACAGATTACAAAGGCTATCTCAAATCAATGGGCAGCATGGATTTGGATGGATAACACGGATTTCAAATTTGGCCATTTTGGATTTTAACAGTCTAAAGTAAACTTTAAACCTTTTTACCAATATGCATCCTTCTTTAGACACAATGATAAGGAAACTCAGCAGAGCAGAATAATTCCCTTAAGGGAGAGAACATACAGTAATACAGTCACCAGTACTCACCTTCATTTGAGCACATTTTTTCTTACATAAGGAACAGGTATGTGCAAATGTTCTCGGTGAGGCTCCAGCATGATCACGCATCACGTCCAGTGATGGAAGGCCCTTGCAGGTTGTATTCTTTGCTAAAGAACGCTGTTTCAAACAAGGCACACGAGTGGTGTTTGCCAGGTCTAGGACTGGCTGAGATGGAGGATAATTGCAGGAGTTTGAATCATTGAAAACAGATGCTGAAGACAGGACAAGATGCGAGGCGTTGGTGACAGTCAAAGAACAGGTATGTGAAAATGTTCTCTGTGGGGCTGCAGAATAAGCATGCATCACATCCAAAGATGGAAATCCCTTGGAGGTTGGATTTGTTGCTGGAGCAGGCTGTTTTGAACGAGGAACACAAGTGGAGTTTGCCAGATCCAGGACCGGTTGAGATGGAGGAATATTGCAGGAGTCAGGATCATTGAACATAGACGCAAAAGACAGGACGAGATGCGAGGCCGTGGTGACACTAGGCGTGAAAGACGACGGAGGAGCTACTTTCATACTTTGCAACATCTGTAATTCTGACAGCTTCTCCGCTGACCTTTGCGTCTGCTGAATTATCGTCCCTACAACCTTTGAGCCTTGGGTTTCCCTTTGACCATTAGCAAAACTGCCAACATTACTGTCTGTTTGTACGAGGACAGCTTGACCAGAGTTTACATCCTGGTCAACACTGCTGGTTGGTGGAATTTTAGCAGCAAACTGACAAACCGACTCTTCCAAAGGAACAGAATCTGGAACTGGTTCTTGTGAAGGAACATGTGTTAAGTCTTCATACTTGGGCACTGTCATGTCTTGAGCTTTATTTGGCAGAGATAATGTGGCAAAGGTGGTCGGTAAAGTCTGGTTTGGTGTGCTCTGCAGTTCAGCTGGATCATTGTTCAGAGGAGCCACAATATTCCTCACTAGAGGGGGACTGGAAACAGGGCCCAGTTGGTCATGTGAGGAAACCAAACCACTGCTTTTCAACTCTGCCAAACCTGTTTGTGGTACTTCTTTACTGTGGCTGGTACTCTTAAAACTGTCTGATTGCAACATATTTTCATCAGTCATAGCTGCAGAGCAAATGGATTTGCCAATCTTATCTTCAGCCTTTGCAACATTGTTTCCAGAAAGTCCATGGTCAGTCAGTTTACTTGGCTGAAGACAAGCTGTCGGCATTTCACCTTGACACATTGGCTGTTTAAAACCGATTGCTCTGTTTAGTTCACTCGCGCTTGTTGTAGGTTGAGTTGTGGAGTTAGGATTCGGCTGAAATGACGGTGCAGCTTTCATGGCCTTCTTTAAGCGAATTTTGTGCAAGGTATGGGGAAGGTTCTCAGCAGTAGTCATATCATCGGGGTAATTTAGGAGCTCCTCCAAGTCATCTTGGTCTAGTCCATAATTCGTTAAGATTGTTAAGATACTATCAATACTGGCCTGATGATGTTCTTGAGAGGCTGAGGACATTGAGTAGGTGGATCCCTGTGTGGTTGAGGTAGGTAAGATGTCTCTTTGATTGTTAGGCATGGTCGACTGATGACCAACAGGTTGGTGTTTTAACTCTTCTTTGGCATAAACATTGTTGAAATTGTTCAAATTAGTCCCCCCTATTTCAGGCTGGCTACTCATTGACAAAGATAGTTGTGCTGTGACTTGTCCTCTAGACATGGCCGGAGTCCCAGAAGAAGTTCCAGAAGATTCAGATCCAAGGAGAGGCACTATCCCCCTGGGATCCCCTTCTGTTTGTCCACTATAGAATTTGTTTATCCCCTGGGAGGAACTTTGTATCCCAGTGGCATGAGGGTTAGACAATGGATGAGACATGGAGTCGGTAATGTTTAGAAGGTCCAGGAGATTGATGGCCACAGCATTTGGCGATGGTGCTGTGAAGTTCACAGTTCAGTCAAGAAAAGCAAAAAGCTTGTTCATCCGAGTCAAAGCAAGCAGAACCTTTGAAGAACCAGCTATAAAGAAGCAGCCTGTCCTCTGACCAGTGCAGCGGTGGTTAAAGGGCAGGGTAACTGAACAGAACAAGTTTACA